AGACTGCATTTGTCTTTTGCCGAAGCTCAGACTCTGGCACAGGATCGGGAACATTGGAAGCACTGTCTGAAGCGTCTGCCTCCGCGACCCGAAAGGAGAAGCGGCGATGGAAGATGAAGATGATCATAGTCAAAACAATGCATTTAAAATGCACGTAAAACGCAATGCAATAGATCATCATAGATATAATATTTACATTTAACAAATCTGCTTCACAACAAACTAGCAGCTGCAACTTGTGTTCCATAGATAATGCCTGATTCGGGAGGCTCCTGAGATGTGCAACAGAAAAAAATAATCAACAAAATGTGCTTCGCTTTCAGGAATGTTAGAGTTACACGCTGGAGCATTTGATAATCCAGTGCCACTATAAACCTATCATGCCATGTTCTGATAATTGTCAGATTTCTGTCATTTATTCTTATGAATATCACCATCAGAAAAATCAATTCCAAATGTATTCAATAAACAGTTAAAAGTTTATTTGTTCGTTTATAATGTTCAGTGAAAACTTACCTTTTACAACCTGAATTTTCTTTGTTACACTGGAATTGTCCAAAATGTTGAGCAAGTCTCTGGCCAGACAAAGCAACTCATAAAGTTTGAAAAATCCAAAGTTGACCAAGGCGCGAGTGAGCATTACAATCTGATAAAAAGAAAGCATAAAAATGGCCCGCAAGAAAAAAAACTTTTAAGGCTCTAGCCAAATAAATAGTTTATCAAAAAAGTCTATACTTTCAAGAGACAAAGATAAGTATCCGATTACATACCTCCAATGTTAAAGCATTCTGTTCCTTGATAAGAAATTTACTGTCTTTCAAGGATTTTAGATATTTCTCTACGTATCGTAGCAGGCCGTTGAACCGATCGCTTGACAAAAGAAGTCGTTGATTTTCTTCAATCAGTCCCATTAGTTCTTGATTCTTGTACCTAAGTAGTTTTAACAATGCTTATGAGCGTCAATGCTTCAAAAAACTCATTATAACGCAGTGCTAAGTCTAATAAGTTGTTTATATAATCGTTATTAGTTGTAATATCGATATTCATTATAGTTATATAATTGGGCCAGTTCTAGAAGCCTTGTTTTCATGAAGTTAGTGGTTTGGGCGCTGATCTCAATTTCCATTGTATCAGCCCGGAATGTCTTATGTTTAAAGGTAAAATCGGCAGCAGCTATTCGAGAAGCATAGCCTGCATTCCCTTGTTTCCTCCCCGCTTATTTATAACAGTGATACTCATTTGAGAACCTGGGAAGGAGGACAGGGAAGTGATCCCTACCAGCTCTAGAACCCAAGACTTCTCAGAATTGAGTCCGGTGATCTACCGACTGAGTAGCACTTATCTGAAGCAACGTGTAGTAAATACGGAATCGAACTCGGCACCTTCAGAGTCCGAGTTCCAAGCCGATCTCCTACGCCACTAATCGTGGGATATCATACCGAATGATGATAACTGATCGCTTACCTCATAATGGAGACGCTGGAAGAGATGTCCTTCCAGAGTCTGGCGTACCGTACGGGAATCACTTGTTGCAGGTCGGTCACAACGTGCAGGTGTAGCATCAATCGAGCGAAACTCGCTCGGAGATCAAATGGCAACGTTTCGTCGCACATACACCTGAAATGAACGCCAGCAATATGAATGTACACATTTAAGTAGAAAAAGTACTGAAGTATAGTGTCTACGGTCAGCTCCTTGGACAAATTCAGCAGTTTCTTATTGACCGGTGGATTGATAGCCAAGAACTGTCGGTCGAGGCACATCTGCGAGAACAAATCAAGCTGGTGCCGATAGTAGTTGAGCAGTGTCTGTTCCTCAGAAGACTTCATGGCGTTCTCGGCCACGCTTCGAAGGGACACCGCTTCCTTGTTGCACCATTGCAGATACACCTACCAAACAATTTCAGCAAATATTGTTGTTTCGTCTCTAATAAACTGACTTACCTCACCTTTAACGCATCTACATAAAGAAAACAAAAAAATTAGATATAACAGGGGATGGGAACACATAAGGACAGAACTTACGTGGTTCTCACGAGAATGTCCATGTTTGACTTGCTAAGGACAGATTCACAGATCAGTTCCTGAATTCGTTTGTTCGCCTCTCCTTTACACACGCACAACAAAGTGAGGTAGTCAAGAAACCTGAACGAAACTTCAAGTTCAAGAATATCTGCATCCGCAGACTATACGATTCCTTACTTTCCCTCCGAATTGTTGCGAACGAGCTCGATAAACTTCTCGATATGCGCTTTTTCTACATATGTTTCCAACAGTTTCGTGTTATCATGCAAAATCGCCGTGATCGTATCTTCGGCCATCAACCCGTAGCCGATTTGCTGTTGAATATGAATGAAACGTTCTGCGATATACACCTAAGAAAACGTTGGCAAAGTGCCATAAATAAGCAACTCTAGATCACAGGAGTCATTTCGCAGCACTGATATACGATGGACTGATTAACAATTAGTAAGTCAGATAAGCTATGCATGAAAAAAAATCGTCGCCGGGACCCTATCCATGGACCTGGAAAGACATATTTGCCAAAAACTTGATGAGTGATTATTTCATAATATGGTTTTCTGTGTTGATGGTTGGCTGGATACATGAAAACAATGAGTGAGGTAGTTACGTTCTTGCAAATCTGTTGAACAAACCATACTGAGCATCAGTAAATGAATTAACGCATACATTAGAGAGCGCCCAACGTCGTTTCCACCGGACTACTAATCAACTGCTTCTTGCCAAAGAGGCATTTACCTTCCAGAAATACAGTTTCATTTTCTACGTGGTGGAGAATAAACAAACATTGAAAATAAAAGATTGCACGTGGAAAGAGTAAATGGTGGACTGCGTGATTCATGTCATAAAAAAACTTAGCACGAACTTCCAAACGTCGACTGACGAGCATAAAAACAACGTGATGATTTCAGATTTCAAGCAGAACTTGTGTAGCAGAAAAGGACTCCCTGGCCGCAATTCCAGTTGTATTTGCCGACAGGGAACAATCAGTCAAGAAATTTAAACTGTCTTTTATCATGCTGTCTACTCTCCGAAAGATGCATGAAACTCACGGGGAAAACTGATAAGAAATCTTTCTCGCAATCTTGATTGTCATGGCCGAAAAAATCATGCTAAGTAGTGTTGACCAAACCTATACATTGATTTCTTCACTCTTCTGGAGAGATGAAAGGAATGGTATCGTGTCGTAAGAGTAACGCGATCACTGTCTGCCCTGACGATGGCCGATGTCCTTTGACCAAAACGCAGGCTAGTCATTCGAAAATAGACCTAAACCCTCCTCTGCCTGTTGTATACCCATGAACATCAAATCTACACAGCTCAGTTTGAAGAGCAATGCATATGATCAATCTGAGCATGTCAGAGTAGGCTTTAATTTTAATATAAGTCTGATAATTTAATTATTGACGACCCATCAACAACAGGTCGTTAACAGAATAGAACTCTTCTCACAAGCTGAACCTCCCGGAAACTTCGTACAGAATGAATCTTTCATTAGACGCAATGATAGCAATGAAAGCCTGCCACATTACCAATACAGTGGTCCAATCAGACAACACTAATTTGGGATTGTCCATTCCCTTCAAATACTCTGAAACATAAGAAGCGATGGCCTTCACGTCGTTTACTTGAAGAGAGCATGACCAATTTTTCAACAGCAAGCTGATTTTCCAACACGGAAGAAGTGCGATAAACAACGTATATTAAAATTTAAATTTTCCCTTTAACTATAACATGTCTTCATGGTATCACTGGCACAATAAATTTCAAACTGTTGGCGCTACCAATGCATGACTTAGTGCAGCTGCGGTCTGTCTGATCTATAGCCAATAATATGAAGAAAAATTGAGATTTTTAATGGAAGAATATACTGAAAACGGGGAAAGGTAGTTGTGAAAACTGTCAAATTAATTGAAGCGCCTTAAGCTTGAGAGTCAAAGATTGTCCTAGATTTGTCATTCTGATCAAAGAAAGATTTCATCAAATGGGTTGAACGTTAAACGGTAAAGCTGAAATATTAAATGCATGCTGGCCATCAGTGTGCAAAATTTTAGACAGTTTGATTTCGATTCTTTGGTGATAGGCGGTCCATGATTACGACTGCCATATGTCCATGTTGTTGAGGATGGACGACAGTCAAATTCCAGAATCACAATGCAGGCCAAAATATTATAGGATGTGTTACTATAATAGGCACGAAAACTTGTCACCAACTTTTAAGTGGCTAGCTAAAAAGACAGTACAAATCGAGGACTAGCGGATCTTCTCAAACGATTAAGATAAGCTGTTAGGAGAGGGGCAAAACGGACATCGGTGAAATACCAAGAAGCAAGGATAGGGTAAAGGCTTCTATTTTTTTCCAATGATTGTACATGTGGTATTTTATGCCGCCTTCTCTTCTGACAGTGAATGATTTTCATGAGATGAACGGAGTGAACACAGTGGGAGTAATATAAAACGCCAATTAATTTACCTGGTTTCGGCGATACGACTGCTGCGAGAATCGTAAGAGGGTATACATTAGTTGGAACATGCGCTTAAATGACTCGTTACCGGGTCTGCTGAGCACACTTGGACTTTCGAATATCTGCCGATCTTTAAAAGTCATGAAAGGAGCGCGGAGCAATTCAAAAATCTAAAAGCACCATTCGATATACTACAAATCATATACATACATAAAGTAAGTTTTCTACAAAAGAAAATAATCCAATTCAACGCATATAGTCGTGTAGAAGGATCAAATTCATAAGGCCTCTATACAGAAGCCAGACAGCAACCCATTTCCTCATTATCAGAATGAGGTAGTTGCCTGATGATGACAACGGAATATTGCACGAATAGAGTCTTTTGATTCTGAATTTTCTCAGAATCTAGAACTATTAAACTGGCCAACTTTTTCATTCTTAGAAAAATTATACATAAATTTATGTGTACTGAATCGGTAGGAAGCATATCCATGTTTTACCTGGGCAACAAGTGAAACTTCAGTAAATACATTCAGTAAAGCTCATAGGCAGAAAACATTCGCAACAACTTTGAAAACTAATCACTCCTGCTAAGTTAGCAACAGACACTTGTAATAACTTATTATTTGCTTGAACTGTTATACTGTTTATAATAAACGACTCAAGAAAGAAACAGAGAGCTATTACTGGACTCAGAGCATTCTATAATCTAGCATTTCGCTAGTTTATCTTTCTGTTTTTGGCACTCAGAAGTTTTCTCTGAATTTCACTCTGGTGCTTGCAGTCATTAAACAGTCTCGGGTGATGTTTATTCCCAGAACAAATTGCTCTAGTGTTGTTAATAAGTTACGTTATTCTTTCAAATGATCTAGTAACAGCCGAAGATTATTACTGCAGGAACGGGCAGAGCCACAATATCCATCCTCTACAGTTGAGACCATTAAACGAAATCATCACTGCCCTTAAGTATTACGGATGCGCCAATTGCTACGCGTCAGTATAAGGCAATGGATTAACAAGAAATGACTGGCAGAACGAAATAGACGACTGTTTTCATTACTTAACTCTTTTATAGGATTTGACTTACTATTCTTGTTAGGGACGATCATAAGTCATCGTCCTGAAGCAATTATGCACTGGCGCGACCAAATACTTTGTTTGTACGTAGTGATCTAATCGACTACACATCGCCACGTAATCAGGTCAAATCATGTGCTCTATGCAATAGTATATATGAGATCGCCGTTTACTACGCGCCGATCGTCGAGTATATAAACCCATCATTTTGTCACTTGTGATGTTACGTTGTATCGTCTCGCCTTGTGGGAGTTTGCTTTGCCCGGCTCGGCCACCGCAATAAACCTATATTCAGACCTGGCTCTGTGAAGATACAACAATTCTGAACTATAAAGTCTTAAGGTCTTCAACAAAATAAAGCAACACTTAGGCTTCGAAAATTCAATCTTAAGACAGAAAGAAGTTTGGTCTCACCTGCTGTAGCACCTTCTGTTCACGCAGTAATTTTTGACGATTACGGAGTGGTTTTAGTGCCTTCAACTTCAAGGGATCAGAGAGATGATTGGTCGTGTTGGTGACAAAAAATATAAGCTCTGTCAGCAGCTCCAGAACGTGCCTAAATTTTGTAATCGATTGCATGCGATTTAAATCACATCGTGGCTAACAAATAAATCAGTACCACTCGAATATTAACTTCAGTCATCATATACAAAGGCTAAAAATAAAGATTCGATCATAGAAAAAAAAGAAATATGATAGAACTTCGAGCAACGTAAATTGTTGGCATCTGAACAACGGTCAGAGAGGTTAGAGTTCTCACAGAAAATCGACACTACAAAGAGTAGCTACCAACGAAGTAATGGAGGTGGGGAATAACTACGAATAATAATCATATGTATGATCATGGACAATTTATAGTTACAATTGCATAAATGAAGCATAACTGACGAAAGTGACAGGTCTACCGCCGTGTTCGATGAGATCTAAATGACGATCAGCCTGATTAAAACCGAGGGACATGTATTTTCGCGAAAGGAAGTTCACTGTGACTACCGCAATAAAGACCGACAACTAAGTTAAATGGGACAGTTTGTGTACCTCAGGATGTCATTTACGAGTGATGGCAAACTGGTCAAGCGAGTTTAGCAAAACAGGAGCTACATCCGTTTTGATATATAAGTGCTGAACAGTAATTACAAGTCTACAATTGATTCAGTGTAGTTTCGTAAGAGGCCAACAGCTTTGCAGTGCGGATGAAAAAGATAGATGCAATTCTAGTTTCACAGAGAAATTGCTTTATCTATGATGCAGTCAAGACTGTGCCGTAGAAAGGGAGTTAAAAACTGAGAATGCAGCGAAAATCATTATTGATCGATGCATGTATGTATGTACTGCTTGAATGGCATCACCAATGAAGCCCATCTTCCGGCATAAAGAAATGCGCACATTTCGCAGATGACAGAAGATGATGGAAAGCAAAGAATCAATCAAACAAACAGTACACAACACTAATACACGGCTGAAAGATTAAAATATTATAAACAGAACAACAAATCAACTGACGTGCAATGAAGAAGCATAAATAGGGTAACTGAATTTTAAGCATACAGAGATAAAGTTGTCCAACTGATTCAAGGTCTCGGAGAATCTATGATGTGGCTGGAACGACTGCTTTACAGTAACGCTTCGTTCTGGCGTAGAAATTTAAGAAACGAAGCCTTGTGGAAAGATGAGATTTGCACCCTGCAGAATCATTATTCAGGTAATGAGCGTCTTTTGCGAGGATATTGTTGCTCATCCGAATTCCGTGGTCTACTGCAAGATCACTAACTTTACTTCTAAGTCGTTTAGTGAAAGACCATCTTGACAGATTATCTCAAAATTTTGTAGTCACATTTTAAAAGAACAAGAAAATGACTGCAGTGTCGTAAGTAAACATTGGTAACACGCACGCAAAACAAAGTTCTTCATGGCATCAGGGGGAACATGGAAGTTCTTCAATTTCTGGAAGAAGAACAGTGCACTGCAAGTATGAGCTGTCACTGACTTCACGTGTTCATGCAAAGCAAAGTCAGAGGAGAGAATGACACCCAGGTAGTTTATATTTTTAATGCCGGTCGTCTCATCGAAGTGACTGAGTGTCCGGGATGACAAGTCTAGTAGTTATTCATTCCCGGTACCATGCAAGCTGCAAATTCACTCAGATGTTTTATGAGGGTTCAGCTGGAAGTCACTGATCGAAAGGAGTTGAAAAATCTTCCTCATGCCATTTCCATGCATTTCCCTGTCCAGAGGTGATGCTGTACTTACGTGAAAAGCTCAAGGTGATGGTCACAGGCAACAATAACGAACCTTCTGTTGTCCACGGTCATGAATGCTGATCGAAAGAGTGCAATTTTAAGTAGAAGCGCCAGAAATAAGGCTTCTTCGAAAGATAGCTAATGTGACTATGTTCAGAAAACGTCACGCCTAGAGACCCCTGCCGGCGAGTCACTTCCTTGCCAGCTCGAAAAATCATATTTGAGATGGTTCATACATGTTATGGTAGAAAGTCAGGCAAGCCGGCAGTGCCACGTTGCGGGATATAGTTCCTGAAACTTGCCAATTAACGAAGATCTGATACATTGAAAATAAATCTTCTGCTGCTTTGTTGCTTCAAGCCGAAACAAATCACACTTTCAAGGTAAATACATAACGCAGCACTGAAAAACATAAAGGGTAAACTAATTATCTGACTGCAGAGGAAATAAAAGTAAGTAAATTACGATTTTTCTTTGACGACACTGCGACCGTCACGGATGTGTTGCAAAAAATCTGCCAATGCCTTGCACGAATCATTGGCAAAGTCTAGATCGCGCACTTCTTCACACATCACCGGCAAAATCGCGAAAGCCTCTTTGTCTTCCTTCCATGCCGAGCAGCCCACCTAACAGAAAACGGAATAATTTTTTCTGCTAGACAAATTTCTTAGAAGTCAGCAAGATAAGAGTGCTTCTTCATAAATCGTAAAAGATACATATATAAGTATGGATATATGTATATGTGTGTATATATGTATCTATTTATTTAAACATGTATGTGCATATGTATCTATGCGTGTATGCATGTGTATATGTATGTCCGTACGTTGGTATACATACACACATGTACATATTTACGTACTTGCACGTGTTCACATGTACATACGTACCTACCTATCTACATACCACGTATACATACGTAAGTGTGTACGCAAATATATGTATATATGTATAACACTCATGCACCTACAAACGTAGCTACATATATACATCCATACGTAGGTACATACATAAGTAAATATATCG